AGTCAGACCATGAAATGAATCATCTGGCATCCGCAGGCTGTAATACTTGTTTAGAGTTAGAAATGTGACATCATTTATGTAGAGCAACTGCAGAAAATGCTCTGAACCTGCTTTGGAGATGATCAAAAGGATGGATAGTTAACAATGGATCAATTGTTTGGCGCAGTCAGCAAAATCACGTGAAATCCTTAATTATTTCAGGCTTCATTTTGAGGAATTCGGGTCTGTGTTGCGGTTCGCCTGCTCCTTTTGCTTTTCGATGGGCATGAGGATAAAGTTCATCACTTCTTTCAAGCCATGTGTGATGCCTCGGAGCACAGTACGTGTAAGAAGCTCATCTTTGACTGTCCAGTATGCTTAATCTGATGCAGAATGTCATTCTCCATATCTCTCCAGCTATGCATCGGATCTCCTTCAAATTTGGATCAAGCAGCGAGACTGATGGCTTCATACCAATCAGGCCTGCAATGATTTTTCCCATTTTTTTTGCATCTTCGGGATGGCATACAAGACTTGGGAGTATTCAGGTGGTCCATCGCAGTTCACATCCCAAATATATGTCATTATCTGGAGTACATGGTATTGGTGCGTAACTACCACTCAAGGTATCTATTTATTACTAATTTTGACCTTTGCCATCATCATCAGGCATGCTATGAACTGTGTCCTTTGACGTCCTGTGGGCTACTTATCACCTATCCATCTACTACGTACCAATACTCATATCTCAAAATCTTCAATTATTACTTACCTGCATCTGTCCACCTGCAACCTCATTATGTACTTCCTATCAATGAGAATTGCTGTTAGAATATAATCACGTTATATTCAGCAGCAATGGCAGTAAGAGATAGAGTGCACACAGCACTGTAGTTGATCACACAGATCAGACGATGAAGGAGTAGAGAGGACTACTTATTCGACAAGACGAATACTACAGGTTTATATACAAGTCCAAGGTAGACGATGTCATGTTACAGCTAAACATAGCGAGAGAGAAAGGAAGTACAATACAATGTATCCTACTGGTAGTCCTATAGTAATAGTACACAATGGTGGGATTGATAACACGACGGTGAGACTAATAACACGATAGTGAGATAGTGGTTTGTAATAAGAGAACAATGTTCCATAGATGGTATGTGAGTCATCAAATGTTAACAATTGCCAATATAATTGTATTGGGTCCAACAGCCCCGGAATTTTACTCTCCATCTTTCAGGATGTCTAATGCACTAGATGACCCTGATATGCCTGAACTCGTCTCGAGTGACTCGGATGATGAGGGTGTTGAAGGAGCCACTCCACCGCAGTCAAAAGAAGAAGCGATCCAAAGTGCTATGCAGGCCATTGAATCTTCTAATGGTGAACTCTCTGTCCGTAAGGCTGCCAAAGCCTATGGGGTTCATCCAGCTACCCTCCAGCGACGTGTTCATGGTGGAAAGTCTCGCTCTAAGGCTCATGCCCACCAACAGAATCTCTCACCTGCACAGGAAGATCTTCTTGTGGAGTGGATCAAAGTACAGGGTCAGCGTGGTGTGCCTCTCTTGTTACCCATGGTTTCTGCATATGCCTCAGATATTGCGGGAAAACCTATGGGCGACAATTGGATTTGCCGTTTTCGGACCCGCCATCCAGATCTTGCATTGAAATTCACTACTAGTCTTGAGGAGAGTCGAGCTTGTTCACTTACTCTAGCTGCAGTCTCTACCTCCTATGATGTTCTCGCAGACACTGTTGCTCAGTATGAAATACCTCCCGAAAACATTTACAATATGGACGAAAAAGGAGTTCAATTGGGTATTGGTCAGCGTACAGCTGTCCTTGTGGATCGTAACCAGAAATCTGTCAGTTCCATCGAGTCTGGCAATCGTGATTTAGTGACAATCATCGAAACAGTTTGTGCCGACGGGTCAGCCCTCCACCCCTCAGTGATTTTTGAAGGACAGAGGCGGGACATTCATTGGGGTGATGTCAATCCAGCAAATGCAAGGTACGTCTCAGTCATCCTTTGTGTCATGGATTGCGCTCACTTGCATTTCCGTTAGTATTTTGACCTCACCCAATGGCTGGACTGACCAAGAGCTTGGCTCTCTCTGGCTCGAGAAAGACTTTGAACCTGTCACTGCAGCTCGTAACCACACAAAAAACATTGCTTACTCATTCTTGACGGACATAATTCACATTGCACATATCGATTCTGTAGATTTGCAGAACAGCACAAAATCGTTGTAATTTGTCTTCCTGCTCATACCACGCATGCCCTACAGCCTTGTGATGTAGGAGTGTTTGGACCTCTCGCATCCAGCTGGAAGGCACGTCAGCCTCAATAAACATTTCATATACATTACTCACATATCTGTATATACTCAGGCCCTAGTTACTTCGTTATCCCGAAAATACATCATTATTGACAAGTATAATCTACTCCGACATTATGCAACAGCACGAGAGAAAGCATTTAAGACTACTACAATAGCAGCAGCATTCCGTAAAACTGGTATACACCCATTCAATCGCAACACCATCGATTCAATCTTGTATGAACCTGCAAAAAACTTCACAACAAAGTCTGCTATGCCTGTTCCTGTACAGCTTCCCTCACTCCTTGAACCTGTAATGACATCTTCTACTTCTTCGACTCCTACTCCCAGCACAAGCAATGAGCACGGGATCGTACTTCTGCCTCCTCTCCCTCATGTGCACCGCACTGTCTCAAAAGAATATCTCTGGACCAAAAATATAGTCATGCGCACACAGCTTGAGGCAGCAGGGAAACTGTTGAGTGCAAATTTTGCCCACATGAAGCTAATGGAGGCCGAGAATGAGAGGTTGCGCAACAAGGCATTCGCAAAGAAGAGGAAACATGTTGCTGTGAACACGGGAATGAGTCGACATTTGGCAGCAGAGGAAAACATGAAAGAGTTGTTGAAAGAAGAGATGAAACGTGTCCTGACATTGCTCAAGCCAAAATTTAAAGAACTGAAAAAGAAAATAGAGGCATTCGAGAAGAACGAGGCAAAAGCAAGAAAAGAAACAGCGGCGTGGGAGAAAAAAGTTTTGCAGGCAGCCGCAAGGGAAAGAAAGGCAGCGCAACAAAGAGAACTAGGCAGAGGTCGCAGTCGTGGACGTGGACGTGGACACGGACATATTCAAAAAGGGCGGGGACAAGGACAGACCCAGGCTATGGCAAACCAGTCTGAAGACTCAAGTTCAGAGACATCCTCATTGAATCACACAGATCACGCACCTGAAAATGATAACTCGACAGATTCAGACTCGGATTCTGAAGCTGCTCTCACTTCATTTGTTCCCACTGCACCACTCAGACAAGCTCATCCTAGGCCTAAACCTCGGCCTATTCCCCCTTCTGATTCCAACTCCCATAGCTTGCATCCTGTAGACTCTCATGAGTCATTTGATGTACCAATTACTGGTGACCCAGGGACCAACAATGCCAAGGATTCTCAGACAAGCTTTGGAGAAGAGGATCATGGGGTAAGCAAAGAAGATGAGGCAGTTGAAACAGCGATTCAGTTGATTTTGGGCCATAAATGGATTGGGCGGGGCTTGAAGTTCATGGTAGAATGGGTCGACGACGATGTTACCTGGGAGTCTCTTTCGAACATCAAAGATTGTGTTGCCCTGGATGATTATTTGGTCCATCATGGCTTAGCTGAGCCTTCAAAACTATCCAAGAAGATGTATCTTTTAAGTAGAAAATGATCGATTGGTTGTATATGAATGTGCATGGTAGGAAAGATAGTTCCAGGATAGTTCTACGACGATTCTATGCAGCTGCCAGGATGAGGTCCATCCCAAAATGGATGTTTTCCCACGCATGACTTGGATCCCGGTCAATGCCTGTTTCGGACCCATCAGGAAAACTGTCCCTTGAAATAGACAACAATTAGGTGTTACATGCGAGAAAGTTGAATGAAAATACCAAACGTACTAAAATATTACATAGTTGCAATATGTGTGAAAGTTCGGAAATTTGGCGGCCCAGTTTGAGATTTCAAAATCTTTCAAGAACATTTCAAGAACATTTCAAATCTTTTCAAATATTCTTCGGGTAATTTGAGCAACTTGTCAGTTGGTTTCACTCATAATTCTAGTCCTTTCGCATGAGTGGCTGATATTTTGAGCATGATTCAATGTAACTTTCCTCATATTTCACAGAACTAAACATAAGAAGGATGTATTGATTGGCAGAGGAATATATACTCTATCTATATCTATCTATATAGAAAGTCAAGCTTACTTTTGGTTCCGTTGCAGTACATGCAGCCTAAAAACTAACGTTCGCAACAACCACAGTCCCCGGCCTCAGCTGCTGGTAGTTTTTCCAAGGAACTGTTAAGATCATGTACACCGTGTAACCATGCCAAAGCCACAAGGTGTCTAAGTGCGGAAGACGAGTGGGACAGTAGTGAAGTTATTAACAATACCGCCGTTACGCTGTTAGTCCCCGGAGATCGAGAGTAGAGAAGGGAGGAACTGAGGAGCAGCCTAGTCAGAGCGGCGGGAACGCCGATGACGAGGAAGCAACAGGAGAACGTTCAAGTCCTAAGGTCGAGTGGAACGTACTTCAAGCGTTGAGCCTGAAGACTTAGAGAAGGGTTAAGTTGGGAAGGGAGATCTAAGTTGATTTAAGTTGATAATTAAACTGAGGAACTACAGTAGCATACAGGCAGTATTTATATCTACGGATCGGCGCATCATTGCGGAGCGCCAGACTAACTATTAGGAGCTATACGAGTAGTACCTGCAGGGTAGAGTAAAGACATAAGGAGGGACTAGAACCAAAGGTATGTGTAGCGAGAAAGAACAATAGAGTAAGATTACAATAAGAGTGGATCTTCGAGTACCGAGCGGCGGAGTGGAGGCCCGAGCATGGACTTGACAGGAACCTATCAACTCGCCATCGATTTTACGCCAATCGGGTTGAAGCAAGCGTGCTTTGTTGAGTGCGAATAATTTCCCGCTGTAATCTGGCATCAACTTGTAATCATATTGCGCCCCAACGGAGATGCTAGCATCTGTAACAAACATTCATTGAACACCAAACAATTAAGAGTCGGACTCTACACACCAGGAGGGAAACCCAAATCTCTGTTGTCAGCATTGTAACAATTCTCTCCGGCAATTCGTCTTCAACTTCAGCATGTTTGTTGAGTTTGCGTTTCTTGAGTTTTGACGAGACATTATCAATGTCAATACCTGCTTTGGTTCCCAACTTTCGCTCTCCTTGCGGAGTCTAAACAAAAAGATTAGTAATGAACCCTCAAACATGCCAATGCTTACCACATATAGTAACGGTCCAGTGAGCGCTATGGCGTCAAGGGAATGATCAATTACCACTTCCTTGATGATTTACTTCACATACGCGAGCTACAGAGAATGTTAGGACCAAATAGAGCTTTCTAGAATGGTATGTTCATTAAAAGATGAACTTTTGAGTAAAACAAAATGTGCCATGTGAGAATTGAACGTACCGAACAACCTCTGCATGAGGGGTCATCAAACAGAGGTATTTTTCTTCACCCTCTCCTTCAATCTTTGTACAATCCCATGTTGACGTATTTTCTGACACGTCACTGTTGTCGTTGTCCTCTTGCTCCGATTCTGGCCCTGACTTCTTCTTAACACATCTGTGCTTCTTTGATGGAGGATATCCTGTTCAATGTAAGTCAATGGTCACTGACATTGGAGGTAGAATGAAAATTGAGCGATGACATTCAGAGGCGATGAGGAACCATTATTTTTGTTAAGTTCCGTGTTTTGAATACTGCTGCTTACATAACCCAAACTCCGTTTGCTCTCCGCGGGCAGCAACAGTCATTGCATTTTACCATTACTTGTTGTTACGATCACTTCTTTTTCATCTTATCTTTCTCCTTATCCCTTGTCTTATCTTTTATCTTTTGTCTTATCTTCTATCTCCCTTATCCTATATCTTATCTTATCTTGTCACCTGACCTATTATTTATGCTTACTGATACAACATGCGCTTTTCATTTACTATATTAAACACAGCAGTCTCACAACACGTATACAGCATGGCGATCGAGCTTTCATTACTTACGCACTACTTTACTTATGTTCTACTCATGTTTACCACTAACCCAGGGTGTTGGGCATCATTACAGGGCAGAGGGTTGTTCACTAGTATATAGGCTGTAGCTACTTGCTGTATTTCCTTAGCTTTGATCTCGTCTATTCTACCTGGTTTAGCCCAGCAGAACTCTTTGCTTCTTTTATCGCCCCCCTCTAAGGTTTTCTTGAGTGTGACACCTGGTGACATCTGTTACTAGAACCAGTCGCTGACAGAAGATCAAAGCTATTCTTACCACCTGTCACACGCTACGCAATCATATCCCTATCACAATTATCCCCGCTCACATTTTTACCAACCCTTCACAGACTTCTACTCTCTATTCGAGCAGTGTCGCCTATAGTACAAAGGTGTAACGTTGAGTCCGACACCGTACTGGCAGACGAAAGCGTCGACTGATCACTAATCTTCGGAAGGGTCTTCGCGTGCACAACGAGCTCCATTCCTAGACAGGGAGGGTGCATCTGTTCATCAAGCGAGAGTGGAAGGCTGCTTCCCACATCATCGTACTCTATTTTCGAAATCTCTCCCACATTACTCTCAACTTCTACAAATCCAATCATACATTTTCCCATCATCACCACCGGGTTGCATTAGTAACTCGTCTTCCTTACAACGGATTTTACTTCAAGACTAGGACGACCTAGACTTTCGGTACAAACCGATCGTTACCGTACCCCCGATTCATCTGCTCCATCCACTTCATCTCTATCGAACGAAATATCACCTCATTCATACCGCCTACTACCACAACTTCAGCATGTCTAACCCTACTCCCGCTCCCACCACCACTACCTCCAATATTCATGGCAAGTCATTGCTCAGGAGCCTAGCATCTTTGATGGCGACAAAGCCAGTTCAAAGAGTGGCGCCGTACCCTCTTTGCCTACATTCGTGATCCAAGGAATAGGATCGTCACAGACAGTGAGAAAAACATTGCGGTCTCGTATATGCGAGGTCCCAAAGTCAGTAGCTGGGTCCAGAATTATACGGACGATAATTTCAATGACGACGAGGAGGAATGGAAAGTCACCTGGAAAGGATTCAAGGATGCATTGAATGCCTCCTTCCTAGACAAAGGACTCACAGAGAGAATGCTCAGGAGAAGCTAGAACATCTCCGTCAGGGCCCCAATGAGAGGGCAGAGGATTTCTTCAAGGAATTTGAAGTCATCATGCGAGACGCCGGATATGCTAAGGACCCCCTACGTCATCAGGCTAATTGAAATGAATGTAAAGCCGAAGCTGATCGACCAAGTATATGGCACCAGCAATGAGCGAATCGAGAAATTCGATGAACTCAAACAGAAGATTATCAGTATCGATGACATGTGGTGGCGTCGTGAGGAAATGCGACGGAATTGGTCAACAGATACCAGCGGAATGCTGGGCAAGGACCTAGTAGCCAGAGATGGCAACCACAAACGACACAGGCTCCCATAACTAAGGCTCCAACCCCTGCGGTACCCACCCAGGATAGGAAAGACGGTACTGGAACAACTTTCAAAGGTGCAGGCAGACCAATGGACATTGACGCTGCGCGTCGCAACAAGGAATGTTTCCATTGTGCAAGCAAGGCCACATTGCGAAGTTCTGTCCAGAGAAAGCACCGAAGCCGCAGTTCGTCAGAGGCATGTGGAGCCGGATGACACAGGAGGATCAGGAGGCTATGGCCAAAGAATTGGGTTTTGTCCTGCCCCAGCAGTAGACGCAGGTCTGCCGGGGCCAATCTCAGAATCAGCATCGGACTTTTCGTCATCGTCATATGTAGACAGTCAATTTAGTTTTGAATTTGGTAGTACTGGTACACCCAATAAAAATAACTTATCTACAATGACGACCCGAGCTGAGAAAAAACCTGTGAGATATGAACCAAACACACCTGAATGGGTGGCGCAGCGGTTACAAATGGACAAACTCCCTATGGCTATAGGAATCCTTAGAGCCTGGATGCCTGAAAGTCGTATCAGAGAAGCATCGGAAGAAACGGTATTGGCTATACGAAATCTGAGTCATGCAACCGCAACTGAAGCAGTTACCAATCTCAAAAGTCGTAAGAATTCGTCCGAGGTACCCGAGGACGTGAGCTAAAGTTGCGAACCACTATTGAGAATATCGACAATGGTGTACAGATTGAAACGGAAGCCCTCCTAGACAGCGGAGCCACAGGGTCCTGTATCAATAAGGATTTTGTAGAACAGCACCAGCTCACTGTTAAGGAGTTACCAGTCAAAATGCCGGTCTATAACGCCGATGGCACTCTGAACAAAAATGGTTCCATAGAAGGCTATGTACAAGTCCGAATGGTGATAGGAGATCATGCCGAACGGATAGATATGGCAGTTACCAATCTAGGCAAGACAGATATCTTTCTAGGCATAGACTGGCTACGTTACCATAATCCTAGCATTGATTGGAAGGAATCTACGTTAACGTTCGAACGTTGTCCTGACAAATGCGGGTATTTGCCACACTATGAATCACCTGAGGATGATGGTACAGAGGAAAAACTTGTCGATGGTGAAAGGATCTTCTGGTTCGATTGGGATGGGTATCTTTCTGACCAAGGCCATATCAAAGTACAAACTGCACTACAGATGCCGCTACTCCGTACCTTGCCGAGTATGCTGATGTATTTAGTAAAAAAGACTTTGACCAAATGCCAGAAAGACGTCCATGGGATCATGCCATAGAGTTAACGCCAGGCTCCAAACCAGTTGACTGTAAAGTCTATCCCCTCAGTCCACCGGAACAGAAGGCTTTAGATGAATTCCTAGAGGAAAACCTTAGATCGGGACGAATACGACCATCACGCTCACCCATGGCTTCACCTTTCTTCTTTGTCAAAAAGAAAGATGGAACACTACGGCCTGTACAGGATTATCGAAAGCTAAATGACATGACTGTCAAGAATCGATATCCACTCCCGTTAATCCAGGAACTCATTGATAAACTGAAGAATTCCAAGATCTTTACCAAAATGGATGTATGGGGATTTAATAACATCCGGATCAAAGAAGGAGATGAATGGAAGGCAGCATTCCGAACAAACAGAGGCTTGTTCGAGCCCACAGTTATGTTTTTCGGACTTACAAACTCACCCGCCACGTTCCAAGCATTCATGAATCACATCCTTCGAGAGCTCATTGATCAAGGACACGTCATTGTCTATATGGATGATATCCTTATCTTCACGGACAACATTGAGGAACATCGGATCATCGTCAGAAAGGTTCTTGACATCCTAAAAGCCAACAAACTGTACTTGAAACCTGAAAAGTGCACCTTTGAGGCTAGGGAAGTTGAATATCTTGGAATCATGTAGGCAATGGACAAATCCGGATGGACCCAAAAAAGGTTGAAGCAGTTCGAACCTGGCAGCCACCACAGAAAAAGCGCGAACTACAATCATTCTTAGGGTTTTGCAACTTCTTCCGCCGGTTCATCCGAGATTTCAGTAAAATTGCCAAACCCCTAACACGGCTCACAGGGAATGCGACTTGGGAATGGACATCTCTTGAACAAGATGCGTTCAATCAACTGAAAGACCGGATCATCGAAGACGTCACTCTCATTATCCCAAGAGAGACTGGAAATTCCGGATTGAAGCTGATTCTTCCGATTACGCAAATGGTGCTGTCTTATCGCAAAACGTCGATGGAAAGTGGAGACCAGTAGCCTTCAGGTCCAGGTCACTTAACGAGTTGAACGGAATTATGAAATTTACGACAAGGAGATGATGGCCATCATGGATTCTCTATCAGACTGGAGACAGTATTTGCTGGGCGCAAAAGAACCTGTTGAAGTCTTTACCGATCACCAGAATCTCCAGTATTTCCGGAAACCTCAGAAGTTGAATCGACGACAAGCCAGATGGGTAGTTGAAATTGCTGAATACCATATTGAGCTCTTCCATAAGCCTGGGAAATCGATGGGAAAAGCCGATGCTCTGTCAAGGATGTCAGGCCTTGAGAAAGGGGAGAATGACAATACCGACGTCACACTGCTAAAACCAGAATTTTTCATTTCTCAAGTAACGGATCAGACATCTGCCCCCGAAGACGATCTGCTTAATCTCATCCGAAGAAAGAAAAACCAGCGAGACAAGTTAGTACAGGTTGCCCTCGAGTCTAAAGACAAGGAATGGCTTGAAACTGAGGATGGACTAGCAGTTTGGCAAGGACGCATCTATGTCCCCAAGGACAAAGAGCTCAGAGGACGAATCATACAGGCACATCATGACGCCCAGACAGCAGGACACCCTGGCCGCTATAAAACTATCGAGTTAATTACACGCAACTACTGGTGGCCAGGAATCAGTCGAGACGTCAGGATCTACGTGGAAGGCTGTGAAAAATGTCAGGCCACAAAGACACATCGTACAAAACCCGTAGGACCATTACATCACATGACGTACCATCTGAGCCTTGGGAAATCATAGGAACAGATATGATTGGCGAATTACCGGAGTCTGGAGGGTATAATGCCATCAGCGTGTTTGTTGATCACTTCACGAAGAGGTTACGGCTCTTTGCCCACATACTACGATAACATCTGAAGGAATGGCACGTGTCTATCGTGACAAAGTATTCCCGATCCATGGAATGCCCCGGAAGATTGTCCACGATCGCGGCCCTCAGTACCATGCCCGCTTCATGAAGGAACTGTACAAGTTGCTAGGAATCGAAAGCAACTATACAACTGCATACCATCCTCAGACTAATGGCCAGACGGAACGGATAAATCAAGAAATTGAACATTACATCCGTCTTTTTGTGAATCATCATCAGAGTGATTGGCACGAATGGCTTCCTATGATGGAGTTTGCATATAACGATCGAGTACACTCAGCTACGAAGGTTTCGCCCTTCTACGCAGACAATGGCAGACACCCATAAAAACCACACCGAAGATGACGTCACAAAACCCAACAGCACAGGAGTTTGCCGATAGTATGAAACGGATCAGGGAAGAAGTAGGATCGGCGCTGAAAAAAGCCGCTGAGGACATGAAGCGCCAATATGACAAACACCGGAATGAAGCGATAGAGTATAAGGCTGGTGATAAAGTCTGGCTTGAAGGAACCAACATAACGACAGATCGCCCAATGAAGAAACTTGGGGATAAACGATTTGGACCGTTTAAAGTTCTTGAAAAGATCGGATCCAGCTCATACAAACTGACATCCCTCACGTGGAAAAGAGTCCATAATGTCTTCAACGAAACACACCTATCCCCGTACCATGAACCCCAATTCCCGACACAACCCCGAAATACCGAGCCACCTCCAGAAGTAGTTGGAGAAGAAGAAGAGTACGAAGTAGAAGAGGTTGTGGATGCACGCAAGTATGGAAGCATCCAGTACAAGGTAAAATGGAGAGGTTACGGACCACATGAAATGACGTGGGAACCTGCAGCTAATATGACGAATGCCAAAGAAGCTGTTCAGGACTTCCACAAGAAGTATCCTAACAAGCCCAGGCCTCGAACCCTTAAACGGATCGAGATTCCGATTGCTCAATTTCCCACTGAATTGTTCCGACAAATACCTACACCAGACATAGAACCAGTCCCAAGTACCATGCCATCTGAAGCACTTGTCAACCGACTTGCGCGTCATGGAATTCGCGCCTTAAAGGGGGGGTAATGTTACGATCACTTCTTTTTCATCTTATCTTTCTCCTTATCCCTTGTCTTATCTTTTATCTTTTGTCTTATCTTCTATCTCCCTTATCCTATATCTTATCTTATCTTGTCACCTGACCTATTATTTATGCTTACTGATACAACATGCGCTTTTCATTTACTTATATTAAACACAGCAGTCTCACAACACGTATACAGCATGGCGATCGAGCTTTCATTACTTACGCACTACTTTACTTATGTTCTACTCATGTTTACCACTAACCCAGGGTGTTGGGCATTACTAGGGCAGAGGGTTGTTCACTAGTATATAGGCTGTAGCTACTTGCTGTATTTCCTTAGCTTTGATCTCGTCTATTCTACCTGGTTTAGCCCAGAACTCTGCTTGCTTCTTTTATCGCCCCGCCCTCTAAGGTTTTCTTGAGTGTGACGCCTGGTGACATCTGTTACTAGAACCAGTCGCTGACACTTGTACTTCTACAAAAGTTGTAATTCTAAAAGGCTTGGCTAGCCCTGTCACTTCATATTTAAATCGGTAGTCACCATAGTATATTGTTTAAGAGGCCAGAAATATGATTCCGGGCAACCTACATTAGTACTGATTACATGATTGCAGAGGAATTGTTCAACCATTTATGGCCAGTACTAGCCAAGTCGAAGCCACAATTCAAGAAGTTGTCCACTAATTCATCCTCTATAGTTAACTATGTGAATTTTAGTACCAATTATAAATATTATTCCTACATAGTTTGGAGATTCATCAAACAAATTCTAAATAAATCAAATTGCATTATATTTTGAAAATATCGGAATTTTGAAAATGTAGTACTAGTTTACAAAATATTTCAAAACTTTCTTGATATTGTCTCATATTTCAAGGGGACAGTTTCCCTGATGCCCCTCTTCCGAAAAATATTCATTCCTCAGTCATAACCTACCCTAAAATCACCAAATCGCTATCACCGTGTTCGTTGGATAGGTGGGCATCATATCACGTCCCCATAGCTTGTATGTATGAAGTAATCATGTATGATAACCAAAATACGCTTGTGCGTCTCATTACCTGGCCCCACCCAGTACAACTCTTTTTGAGGAACTGGGTTTCCGTTTCTTGGTGGGTACATGTGAAGTGGAAGATGAGCCTGAACTTGATGACTGATTCTTTTGGTTTTTGTAGCCCAAATTTGATTCCGCCTCTGCTGCTGAACGGAGTGATGATTGGCCTTTTCCAGATCCTAAAGCAAGATTCCTCAAGGCCAATGCTTTCAACGAGCTGTAGGCAGATGGTTTCCGAGCTGAGGGAATATCAGAATCAGAGTTGAGCTGTTGCTCTCCTCCTCTTGTCCAGATGATTCGGAGCTTGGAGCTTCCTTTCGCTTTGGCATAATTAAGAGAGAGAAAAGGTATATGGTGGTAGAAAAAGAGAATGTTTACGGCGATCTCTGAATATTATAAGTTGAATCTTGAACCAGCGGGGAACTTCGACATTCATATTATATAATAGAGCCTGAAAATGCGGTTACACTAAGTTTCAAATTAAGATCAATAATATTAAAGGTTGCTCCTACAAGTTTTATTCAGAGGCGTTATCTACTGCCATAATGTTATTCATAAGAAGTTAGTGCTTTTACCCAGACCTCTGCCCTAGGTAGCCAATCTTCCAGAGGTAAGGGAATTTGCAGTTCCTTTGTGCCCCGCCTACCCTGACTTAAGGGTCTCAAATATGGGATAACCTTCCTCTTCCCATTCATCCTGCCTTATGCCAAGCCCTGAAGGCAGCCCTGCATCACTCTCCAAGACTTCCACTAAAACCGTCATTTGAAGACTTTCGTTGCAACTTGGTGGAAAACGGGTTTTTATGCTTTGGTACCCATACTGGTGCATGATGAAATTGAGATTGAACATCTTTTAGAATACGATCTAGAAAGGGAGTTATGAAGAAAAAAAATATAGGCAAATCATATAATTTATATACCTGGCAAATTCTGTGTTTATCAGAGCTTGAGCTGTATGTGTAGATATATCTTCAGCCTCAACACCATCTGTGTATCTATATCTGAGCCACTGTCACTGTCTGATGATTTATGCTCAATATTATCCTCCTCATCTTCCACCCCATAGTATCGTCACAATGATTGTGGGTCAAGACCATTGCAATCATCTTCATACTCACCATGCTCAAGGTGACCAATGAGGTGCATGTCCTACAATATTGACAGTTATATGACCAACAAGTTAAAATAATAATAAAAAGTGCCTACCTCAGGTGTCTTGATCATGACCCTCTCCAGAGACTGGATGTGAGTTCCAATCTTCACAGAATGTATTACAGTCTTCATTAATCTCATCTAAGAAGAGATAATGCAGCAACCATAGATGAGCAGGATCCCCATGATCAAGCCCATGTAGCTGTTCTAGTCGCTGAAAAAAAGCCCTCCATTGCTATGCAAATTGTGCCCCAACTTCAACCCATAATCACTCAATGCGGTTATTACGCGTAGATCTAAGCAAAGGTAACAAATTACTCAGTATAGATTACACAGGAAAATATGAAGATAGGCACATACGTCCCCCACATGAAGTTTGTACGATGGAGGCCGCGAGCGATAATCATATAAATGGAAACCTTTGTATTTTCCCCACCTCGATCACCACGTAGACGTGATGGAAGACCATATTTTTCTATTGCAGTAAGGAAAAGCTCAAGAACTGTTGTTGCTTGCTTGTAGCCCTACTACCTATTTTGAAACACTTGATGAGTACAATTCAATAGGGCAGTAAGTAATGCATAGAATACCATTTGGGAGTAGCCATCTATGATTCCATGTATTACAAACCCCATCTAATAAGCTTGTGATGCCCATCCAGATGCCAGAGTGCATTTGGACGAGAGACATGATATACGCGGCGGGGAATCATAGTATAATTCCGAAGTATATTTCCAAGGGGATCAACTCGGTCAATTGATTCCTTGATTCTGCGCTTCTGAAGCCGAAGCCCATGCTTCTTCCTGAGTCGGCCCCTTAGGTAGCGGACCCCTGATTGTGGATTATGCCGGCGGTACTCTTTAATCAGTCTGTCGAGATCAGCATCAGATATACTGCTGTAGGCTCGGGGACTAATCCCATATTCCTGTAAATATTTGGATAGAGTATTCCGATGTATGCCAATAGTGCTCGCAAGTTGGCTAATGGTTATATTTCGGTTAGGTGCAAAGCTTCCTCTAGTAGGTTTTCATCAGGTACTTTCCGCGGTCGACCTCTCTTCCCTGTTCGCTGGATATTAACAGGCTTCATGAACCGGACATTTGATTCCCTAAAACTGTATATAAGAAACATATCTTGAGTCTGTAACATCACACTTACCCCGTCGATGGATGTCCTTCGGCTTCTTGTGTTTGTTGTAAAAGCTCCATCAATATCTCAGCTACTTTGTAAACCCACTCTTTCAATACAGGGTATTCTTCATCTCCAAGCTCAAAGGCCAGAATAAGAGGAAATGCATCATTGACCAATGCCCTACAGTGTGAACTGAAGGCGAGATTTCTCAGCATCTGTGTGCAAGGCCTGAAGTGCATGAGAATAGATATCGGATACAATCTGGTGGGCATGGATGATATTTGCAGGCCAGGAAGTGGTACTGGTGGTGGTCAGAGGAGTTGGAAGTCGAGGTAGATAGTCTGGCAGCATTGAACTGAAGAGAAGGGTATATTGGAATGACAATCAGCAATATTTGCAGCGGATCTCCCAGGTCCACTCTCGGTCCGGTTTGACGTATTTAAATGCATTGCACTATATATTCAGCACTTGGCTCCGTTCATTCTCCAGGTCCTATAGCCTCTGACTGGGTCTGACATCCAAAATATTATGACCCTCTTTGTGGCCCCTCATACCCCAGCTTTTGTGTAAGCTTTGTTTTGATTTTCTTCTATTTTCTTCCACATTAATGCAAACTAGGCAGGTACAACACTGTTCAAATTTCCTTTGTCTGTGTTGAAGAATCATTCCGAGCTCATCACCAGCATGGTCACTGGGGGAGGCACTTATGACGATGGCCAACCCATTTACCTTGCCAACTTATCAGCTATGGAGTTCGAGATGGTCTTGGCCTGGCTGGAGCATGCGTGCGTACCAACCTATTTTCTCCCTCAATATCTTCACTCACTTGCACAGCAATAGAAGATGGCAGCCCTGTTCCTTTTCTCCATCACTTCCTCAACTCATAGCTCTACTACAGTCTGCCCGTTTTCTCATGATGCGGTCATTACTGCGGTGGGCTATCAACCACCTGGAGAATTACGACCCCCCCAATGAGTACAATTCAAAAGATATCCCTCAGCCAGGAGATACCCCTTCTCAAAGATTCCTGGCTTCGACCTCCTGTGGGTGCACTTATCACTACATCCCTCGAAAACATTCTGGGCTTGTCATCGGAGCTCAATGCAAGCCTTCACACTACAGTACTGTCAAAAATCATGTTGGCTCGGGAGACCTTGAATGCGAGGCGGATTCTCCTTGCCTATTCAATTCCCAAGGATGATGGATCTATCTCTCCTGCGGCAGAGTGTAGTGCTGAGCACCATAGTACGCGTTGTTTCCAAATCTGGGTGGCTGTCTGGTGGGGAAAGGTAGCCCGAAAGATCCTTCACCCAGATCCCAAGGATAGGTACCTGCTTTCAAAGCTTGGGGTATATCTCCATTCTCTGACTTTCGATGGAATGCCTCCTCAATGTGTACTGAACTTCATCTATCGAGTCGAGTCAAGTGGGTCCTTAGAGGTAGAGAATGCTATTATAGACAAGGCAACGTCCTCAGTGAAGGCTTACCTCTGCACCCTACATATGAATGCTGATGAGTTCAACTTTACTGAAGATGAGGAACGGGATGACATGGCATATAATTTTTAGAATAGACTACGTACTTCCATTCATCATTTGCATCGATACAACCTTTTTAATACATAACCGGAACATTTACTATGTTCAAGAAAACCAATAGCAGAACTATGCTATTCAGCAATTTCTAGAAGTTCCTCCATAGTTGAAAAAAGCTGTATGCGACGAGCAATTACTGTGTGCTTATCTTCCACCATACGAGCCCACCAGTCTGGGTATTGTATGTGAAGTTCCTTTTCTGTCATACAGCCATTCTCAACCCAACGGAAAATAGGACCAGCTGTAAACTGCATAAAAGACGTTCAAATATCCCCTTCAGCAACAGGGGTATTTGAGTGGGTAATAACAGCAGAAGGAATGAGAATAGTAGCAGCATGAGGGAAATCAATAACTAGCTTTAATTCCCAGAGTATGAGTTGTGCACTTCGTGCTGGGTCAAACCGGCCTAGTGCAGTGATAGCACACCACCCAAATGGCCAGTTCAATGGTCTCTATGCTTATATGTCCACACATTACCCCCGAAATTGAAGGCAGCAGCGGAAAATACACTACCTGGGAAGTTTCGGGAAAGAGTTGGTAACTCCTCATACATTCTGGTCTGAGTTGCTTCATATACTGCATAGACACGAGGAGCCCAAATAGAGAAAGCTCCTAGAAATTCAGGGTAAGGGCAAATGTTAATTGCAAAACGAATTGCTTACGGTTTGATACATAGCCATTTGGAGGACGGTCTCATGCCCTACAAGTCGCGCAAGAACAACTGTTAAAGCCTTTGGGTTGAGAGCAACTGGGCAAGGGCTTCCCATTCCCATAGTAATGCCGCAGTTATAAGCTGGGAATGAACTGCGTAATGAGGGTTGGGGGCAGCGGCACCAAGCCCAGCCTGCTTACCCTCCTGCAGAATCAGATCGGAAGCTCGGAGAAGATCTTCTGCATAGCCAGAACCAGGTGTTCCAGCCAAAACACCGATAACCCGGCCTAAGGGATCGATGAGGGGATATGGAGTTCTAAACCACTCAATAAGCCCAAGGACAATGAAAGGAGAATATTCAAGTACATACAAACCCATCCCATGGTATGTGACGGAACCCCAATGCAACCAGGTCTTCAACAGAGTAACGCCTCTGGATATCGGCGTCCGACCACGTTGTTTCCGAGTGCCCGGTTTGGCAGTATGAGCCCCATGTGCAGCGTCAAAATCTCGGGCCTCAAGATCAACCTCTATGGCTGTGCCGGCGGACAGCACATGTGCTATTGTCCGCTTTGAGGGCCCAGCTTGCACCGGCTCCCTCTCAGCCTTGCGTTTTCATTTTCCCGTGCGTTTGAATTTCGCAAGCTCAAAGGCAAAGGGCATAGGGGGGAGGTTGAGGGGGGAAGCTAAGGGAGGAGCTTGGAAACAAGGGTGGGGGCAATAATGGGAAGGATGCTTAAGGGAAAAGAAGCCGCAGTTTGACCTCTGCATTGATTCCGCGCGGCAATTTATCCATCGGCGTTCCCGTTTCTTTGACGCTGGAATTGTCATGGGTTTGTTTGTGGGTCGGAGCACACTCACGTAACGGTCCCATTAGAGGGCGGAATGTGCCATGTATTTTGTTCCCCAGGGATCCAAGGTCGGGGTTGTCCCTGTCACGCCAAGGTTTCTTCCCGATGGGGCCCACACTTGAGGAAGGCAGGCGCGAATTAGGCGGAAAAATCAAACCCTGGAGGTGCAAGTACGGGCTCCACCATTCTTCCTGGCTTGAATTCGGATTAGAAGGGTTTTTGGCGACCTG